ATTTTACGTGGTTCGGCAATTTGCCTACGTCCACGAAGCTGCAGGGATTTCACTATTGAGAGAGTTGAATACAGAGAGCGGATGTACAATCCACGATTAACACTAATCACCAAAACAACAGGGTTTATATGTCCTACGCACTGGACTGTATAACGGGCCCAAAAAAAATTTTTCTTCGGGGGCGTTGCCCCTGAACCCCCACGAGGCTTGTCCATGAGCGCTACGGCTTGAGCCTTCGCTCCATTGACTAAGCCTCAGAAAATTTTCCATTAAAAATCGCACAACATTACTTCGGGTCGGGTCATCATCCGGATCACATATACAAACTAGACTCCATAAAAAAAAACCAACAGGAAATATTTAGTATTAGGGAATTTTCTTTTGGTCTTTTTATAGCTGTTTTTACTGTTATCCTTTCTGCCCATATCTTCATGAGCAAAAAGAAAAAAGTTTTTTTTTCGTATAAAAATAGTCCTTAAACATTAAAATATTTAAACTTGTACTTAATAGCAAATAAGATGTTTAAAATGAAATGACTTGTAATTTTTACTATTAAGGGAATTTTTGGTGGCCGTTCCAAAAGTATTGTAGCCAATATAATATAGCAATTTTTTTCACTCATCTTAATTTGGATAATCAATTTTCAACTTCCGACCTCCTACCGCATGTAGTCTGACTTTACCAATGATATTAAGAAAGTAATCACCCCTGCACACTAACGAATTGATGGTGCTGATTTTTTTCATTGTATTTTCATTTAATTCACTAAATGTCTATGATAAGAGGGCACTTAAATGCTTGAAATTGAATCAAACCCGAGTATTTCACTGTTCTATTAATTAGTGGAAGACAAATGAACAAATAAATGAATTCTTCTATATTTTTATCACGGTGCACATCCTACTAATGCCTTGTTCTATACACAGTGGACTAATATTGTTTTAGACTAAAGTGGAACATGAAGAGGTTGAAGGATCATATAAAGCCGGAAGCAAGTACTTCCTCCCATTGACTCCATGCGCATTATAGCTAGCACCAGTTGTGGGGTCAACTAACAAGTCCCCAGCGTAGCCTGGGTAGGCCCCATTAGCATAGACTCCGGGACAAGCTGAGGCTGCCTCAAGTGGTGCACCCGAAGGTCCCTGATAGTAGCCATTTCCAAAAGGGTTCGTGGCAGTCCCAGCCAAAAGACTAGACAAGTTTATAACCATTGCATCCGAACCCAAATCATTATTGGGTGCACCCAGGGGTGGGGTTTGTGGTCCGTAAATAGGTTGATGAAACGGCCAAGCACAGTAACCAGGACACTGAATCTCCGAGTTACCTACCCAGATATAGGCAAACCTGTAATCCTTACCCTTCACAGGAGCACTCCGNCATTATTGGGTGCACCCAGGGGTGGGGTTTGTGGTCCGTAAATAGGTTGATGAAACGGCCAAGCACAGTAACCAGGACACTGAGTCTCCGAGTTACCTACCCAGATATAGGCAAACCTGTAATCCTTACCCTTCACAGGAGCACTCCTGGACGATCCATGGGTCCCACACCTGGTCATACAAAACCCATCAACAGTTACATCAGAGGCTGTCAATACAACGTTGATGGAGTATCTTTGTCCACCCCTTGAAGCCAACTGTACCAATTGTTTCTGTGTGAGCGACTTTCCAAGCGAGTAGCTTTCGTCGAGTATTTGTTCACCCAGATACAGCGATAAAGGTCTCTTGGCATTGGCGAGGTGGTAGTATTTCTCAGTGGTCTTCCACCATGTGGCGACGGAGGGTTGGCTTTGAGATGATGAAGATGACAGTGAGGTGATGAAATCGAAGATGATTGCTCTTTGGGATGGCTTGAATTTGCCGTACCAAATGAGGTTGATGGAAGTTTTTCCGAAAAGAAGAGGGCCATTGTGGTATTTCAAGAGCTGGGCTTGCGGTTCTTGGACCAACTCTGTGAGTTTTCTTGATGCAAAAGAGCCATCGAAGAGTGAGACCAGGAAGAAGAGTTGTAGAATGATTTGGGTGAAAGCTAAAAAAGCCATTTTCAAACCAGAACCAGAAAATGTTTTCCTTGAAAGGGAAAGAGAAGAAGGAAGCTGATGAGATAGGGGAACTTGGGTGGGTGAAATGGTTGTGTAGTGGGTGGGTATTTATATAGATCTCTTGAGAGTCTGACTTTGCATTTTGTATATCAATACATGTAGTAGCGAACCAGCCAGGAAAGAGACACTATATTCTGTGCCATACCATTGCTTAGCAAATGTGTGTGAGAGAGAGAGAGAGAGCATTCTGTGCCATTAGTTGGCATGCATATGGGTGAGAGGAAGACAGATCCAATTAAGGTACTCTCAAGTCAACCGCGTTTATTTTAAAAATGGCAGGTCCATTAGGTTAGGTGTTGCCTTTAATATGCTTGTTAGCTACAGAACAAAATGCAATACAGCTTCCTTCATTTTGGTACTTGAAAAAAGTTTAAGTCCAACTTTTTTTTTTAACAATGGGACCCACAGACCACGGGACAATTTAGTCCAACTGTAATAACTCAGAAGTTGTTCGGTAATTATTGCGTTTTGTAATTTTGTTTTCAGCGTATATTATTTAATTTGGGAATTGAGCTCAAATTTCAATATGATTTTTTGTGAATGAATAATCAACTTTTGACTTAAACACAATTATTAAATTCTAATATAAAAAATCAAGCATAGAGTGATGTAATTCAAATTGAACTTGAGTTCAATCATATTCAAATGAAAAATATAGACCGAATGAATGATGAATTTGAATTAAACTCAAATTAAGAGTTTTATAAATTGAATTTGAATTAATATATGAATCCATCTATCATATTCAATTATTATTCCTAAGGTTAAACTCAACCTTCCTCTCATTGGAAAGTCTATGGCAACCATGGAAGAAAAAAATTCGGTAAAAAATATAATAATTAAAAAAATTCAATACCATAATTTGGAAACGTTAAGTTGGAAGTAGAAGAAAGGATTTACAAGCTGGAGACTACAGAGCTGTAAGTTTTTATTGATAACAGTGAACGACAGTCCGGCTGAGAGTCAACAATTGGCCGGTGGGCATTGGTTATTGAGCAATCGCTCTTTGGTGACCACATTGAATACTCGTGACTTGGGACCGCCCAGCTGGTCAAGCTACCATGCCACAGCTGTGTGCCCTATCATCTAGGGAAAAATTACCAAACCCAAATTTAAAACTAAGATTCGTAAGATGAAATTATAATTTTGTGAGATGTAAATCACACCTGCAAACTAAGAGCATCTCTAATAATAGAAGTTATTAGAGATTTTTAATTTTAGCTACTCTTATTTTTTCAACATACACTCTAATAGATTTTTTATATTTTTAATTACTTTTTTAAATATTATTTCTTATTTCTTTTGTATTATTTCTTTTTGAGAATAATGAAAGAGGAAAAAAGAAAACGGAGGAAATGAGAGGAAGAGAGAGAAAATATTATAAAAAAATTTTACATATCGGTGTAGTAAAATGTTATTTTATATGTTTTGAAGATAATCTATTGAAATAAAATTTTTGGGTTAAATAACTAAAATTTGAAGATTTTGTTCTTTAGCTCATTTCTTGAAGATGCTCACTCTAAAGCACCTTTGACTCAATGATATACTTTATCTTATGAAGACTTTGTCATATTTAGGTTAATGATTCAAGTTCATATATCTCGGGGTTTATTTTTCGTTATATTTGGACTCACGAATCTAAGTTACATAAGCGCGTCTTTACTCGTTGATGATAAATTAAATATTTTCCTTGTTGCCCCAAAAAAAGTTACAACCGCAAATGTACGATTGATTTAAAATGTTATGATCTACATAAACTGTTACAACTTTTAAAAGTTGTTATAATTTGAAAATGAAAGATTACAATTCATTTAAGTAATTCTATATAAATCACATTTAATAATTGATAATGAATTATGCAATCAACTGTACATGTTTTATTTATTCATTCTTGACGAATCATCTATCGTAAATTTTAATAGAACTCAACACCCCAACTTGTTAATAGGAAATAATTTAGAGTGAATATGATTATTTAGGAACGGTTCCGAAATTCCAAGCTGCCGAGGTTTAAAATTAGTAATCTATTGTCGAAGTTTAAAATATGATGATTCTGTTCATCGGGGGACTATATGATTGAAAAAGCTCTTCTCTACATGGTTTGGATCCAATGGATTTTGCTGAGTTCCAAATTTTTTTTTTACTGTGCACGTTGGATGCTTATAATTTCTTGGTTTATAACTGGCAATTCATACGCTGTCACTCAGTAGGGGGTAACTCGGATGGCTTAAGTAGGTTGAGAGATCAATTTTAATTTAATCTTAGGTATATAATCTTCAATTCAAACCCTAATCCTAATTTAACCTCAACTCAAGTATTGTCCAATTTTAATTTGGACGGACTCGAGTTAAATTTGAATTACTTAATTCGGTCTGAGTTCAGATTAAAAATCAGACTGGATTTGAGTTATTTAATTTGGATTGATAAAAGAGAGAGGAGTGACAAGTGAGAGAAAGAAAGAGAGAGATACTGAAAGTCTGAGACGAGACTTAGACGAGTGAGAGAGGGAGCCTTAGAGTTTGAGATCTGATGAGAGCGATCAATCAGACTAGTTTTAATTGATTGGTTATTATATCTAATTATAGAGAAATTCCGACTTTGTCCTCTACAACATGGGCGGAACCATCCCTTGCGTTAGGGTGGGCACATGCCCTCTCAATTTTTTTTTTCGTCATATTAAGTATATATTTTTTGAAATAAAATTTAGATATATTTAATTGTATCCACCATAATATTGTGTTTTGGTAATATTAATTTAAATAAACTCTTACTTATATGATTGTTAATTTTTTGCACAATTTTATTGAAACTTAATTTAAAGACCTATTACATTGTAATATTTAAGTATAATAGTAAGTTTTAATATATAATAAACTTTACTATCGATTCAATGGTCACAAACTATTGGATCTCCATCAATTAAGTATCAAATTAGGTACAACTAATATAATTGTTAACTTTTAGACATGTCCGAATATGTTTTAAATATATTGATGTTATTTGATAATTTTTTTAAATTGTAGGATTTTTTCGTTAATGTATAAAAATGTGTATCATTATGTAGTAAACTATAAAATTTTAAATTGAAGATCGTTATCCCAATTTTATAAATAAAAGAAATATTGTTGATAAAATTAATTTGTAAATCTTTCAAATAATAAAACATATTAGAGTCAATTATAAATAATAATAAATAGTCGCACTCTCAATAAGAAGTTTTAATTATTATTTTTTTGTTTATGAGTATATCAATTTTTAATCTTCTATGTTTAAAAAGTATTAAATATAATTTTAATAAATATATATATCTATGAACTTTTACATTCTATTAAAAGGAATTAAAATATGTTATTGTACCCTCCTTAACAAAATTTTTTGCTTCCTCCCCTGCTCCGCAACTATGAATCTTTCCGTGCCAAGTTTATGAAATTCTAATCTATAATCTCACGAATTAACAGTGCCTGATCCGTTTAACCCTGTTGTGGATCCAATGTAGAGACTATTATGTCTTTTATTTACGGCTGTAGTTGTCCGCAGGTTTACCAGCAGCCTGCAGTTGTCGTTTGGATGAAAAAAAAAAAAAGCAATAAAAAAGTTAACTATTTGTTCTTACTTACCGAAAAAGAAAATCGTTAATCTTATCTGAACAATTTTTTTTTATTAGGCAGTGGAGATATATAGGTGCACTGTGTTTCATTGTCTGCAAACATGGCAGGGGAATAATCAATATTTATAGGATTGTGTAGCTTCTTGAATGGGGCCACGTGAATCTAAACCTAACCTAGCTTAATCTAAGCAAACATAGATGTGTAATTGTACAGGAGCATTGACTTCATATCGGAGTTATAATGGCTTTTCTTTTTGTCTGTCTGTAATGNGTGGCCAATGAATAGAACTTTGTTTCAATATTTGGAGACATGTGGTTATATCAACAAATGAAATTAGATACAATATTATACTCATTGCACGAGTGGCACTCCGGAAGTCTTCGTCACATATGCTCTGTTTGATACGATGGAAAAGTGGAAAGGATGAAAAGTTGAAAGGATAAATAAAACATCATATTTGATAAGGAAAGAAAATAAGAAGGATGGAAAAATGGATGGATTAACTTTCCTTCCAACTCACCAAAATCNTGGGAGCGTCTGTAGTTTTCCATCGTCTACACCCCACTGGTGGGCTTCCCTCACGGGGCTAGACAGCTATGGTCATGCCTATGCAGCTCCATCCCGATTGTCCCATTAAACTTTTTTTTTAATAACANCATCATATTTGATAAGGAAAGAAAATAAGAAGGATGGAAAAATGGATGGATTAACTTTCCTTCCAACTCACCAAAATCAATCCCTCTAAAATCGGAAGGAAAGTGGATGAAAAGTTAATTATTTGTGTTGAGATGTATCTTATTTGTCTATATATCTCATGTATACATTAATTTCATATAAAAATACAATGGTAAAATATGTATATATATATTTTAAAAAAAATTAAAAATTAAAAATTAAAAATTAAAAAAAAATATTTTTTCTATTTTAACTAAAGGTGAAAATTTTCGACTCAACACGATGACACGACTCGAACTCGATACGAAAATAAATAGGTCAACTCGCAACTCGACACGACACAATTAGTTAAATGAGTTAAATTAAGTTTGACTAATATTTAACACAAACTCGTAAAGACTCAACACAAATCTGACAAGACACGACTCGACTAGATTATCACCCTTAATCTTAGTCAGCACAAAAAAAAAATTGTCATTTTTATTTTTCATCCATCCAACTAAACACAAAGGATGGAAAATGTATCCTTCCTACCTTCCATGACATTTGAAATATTACATATATACCTATCGAGGTTTGTATGCGTATAACACTTAAATCCTTATCGTCAATATCCGTTAGTAAATTATACTCACACCCTCTAAAGTTGGTAGGCAT